CATTAAAGAAGAAGTAGGTTCCATAAACCATCTGAGTTTAATCTCCTGCATAAATATATCCATGAATGCGTTTCGAGACGAGAGTAACCAAACCTATCCTAAGTTATCTTTAAATGTGTAAAAAGAGCGACAACTCAGCCATTTTGAGTCTCGTTCAGAAGTGCGGCCGTATACGTTATGGTTTATGTAGCCTACTTAACTGCAGGCCAAATAACTGTTTGTTTCTTCGATTATTTTGTTAGTGAGCAAGATTTTTTGCTCTCTCAGAAGCAGCAACTAGCGATGATGTTTTATAACCCTCTCCTTCTAGGTCTCCATGGCATAAACCGATTGCAATCGATCAGATTTCTAAAAAAAATTATTCTATATCGGATAGATACTTGTGTTCAAGCTTGTTCGGCTTAATTTGGGGTGTTAAGGGTATTAGCAAAATCGGTTGAGCCTTCAAAAAATGCATAGAATGCTCTTTAAGATCGTGCCTACCTTGTGATACACCAGTCCCCTTAGGGCACTTCCTATTTTGATCCCTAATATTTCACATCTGTAGTCTCGCTGGTGCATACCAAGACCACCAATCAAACCATTGAGACACATAGCTAATGCGCAGGTGTAGAGCCGATAAGTATTCTCTGCCTCACTTGACGTTAGCTCAGAAACAAGATACCCGAGAAACAGTGGAAAGAGAAGGCGAGAAGTTGTACATAATACATTCCCCGTCAAAATGATGATAACATCTTTGGCAGAAAGCATATCAAACACGCTTTTCCAAAGTCTGGGCCTTTTCCCATTCATCTTGCAATCATGTTTCTCGCTTTCCCAGCTCTTTCGAAGCTTGTCGGTGACAAAACGGCCAGAGTTCTCCTCTGACAAGGGTAAAAAGTCATTTTGATCCAAAGGTCTTTGACTGCCCTCCCTAAGGACTTCGTTCATCCAACAAAAAAGAAGTGAAGATACAAAACTGACTTTTTTATCTTCATCAGCAGAGATTTTCCTGTAACCGCCTTTTGGTGCCATCACTTGAGACCTACAAAATACGTAGCCATTATTAGCATGTTCAACGCAACGGCCAAATGTCTTTGCATGTTGTTCCAGGATTTCAGAACTAACTTGCCCTCGAAGAGTTGTAAACTTACATAAAATCCAATAAGTCACGGTGTTTTGTAGAACCTCGTGACTTTTATATAGCCTTAAAGGGTATAGCCTAAAACAAAATGATAAATAATCAGAATACCCGTCATTGAATAAGCTTTGTGCTCGAAGAGTGTCGAGTTTTCCTTTCTCTACTTTTTATGAACGTTTAAGTTTCACGTGACAGCGTTGCTACCCTTGTTTTTGTTTAAAATTTTGCGCGGGATATTTGCGCGCGGCTGGCCAAATTGATCCCTTTGCTTGGGTGAGCCTGTTGAGTTCCAGGCTCCCTCTAGATAGAAACCAAATAACGGGAGAAGATTATTGTGCAATTATTTGAGGAAGCGGCGTGGAGCCAACTTTTCATTCAGAATGGATTTTCCACAATTTTTCGCCATTCTGCTTTCCTTCTTGTCTCCTTTAAGCAAGAACTTGTCGTATACATGACAAACTTATTAGTCATAAAAATAATCAATTTTTTTTACTTTCATTTCACGTCCACTAAGGCGTAAAATAAAATATCATAAGCGAGAAAACGTCATTTTTTCTGAAGCTGAAAATAACCGCACAATAGTGTAAAATTGGATACCTCTAGAAGTCGATTGCGTGATAGGTCATGAATGAATTTGTCAGTGTCTCGCGAAATGAAAGTCGAAATTCTGGAGCCAGCAAAGTGTGGTCTGTGCGGTCTGTACGGTCTGCACGGTCTGCGCGGTCTGCACGGTTTGCAGTCTGCAGTGTGCGTTTTAGCATAACATCTCCTTTGACCTAGCCCACTCAATCAAAGCTTTTAGCTAACCGATACATATACAAAATGTCAACACAGCGCTGTTATCGGCCTTGTAATTACAATCTATATGGATGGAATCGTACTGACAATTTCGTGTGAAAACTACTACGTTTGCAAGTGGC